ATCCTTCAGCATCCATCTGTGTTATGCCATTGAGAAGCTTTGTTTGTAAGTTTAAATTGTGTTTCATCTTTATGAGTAGTAAGTGATGCAAATTTTTTTGTTTTGATGCATATTTGGAGATATATAAAAATGCCCAAATCTGTTCGCCACGTGTAGCAAATGTATAATTCTTTATTTTCCTTTAGTATATTTCTTTTTTGTATTATTTTGTAGTTTCAAAAGTTCTGGGAAAGCACTGTAAGATGCATGTTGGTGAAGACAAACAAGCAAACAGCCCTCAACTTTACTTTCACGTCTGACTCATCAGTCAATGCTTTCAGTGCCTACTGCATATGTTTAGCTATCCATCACTTCGTGTACCAGAACCATGCACGCAGGGGACAGAATAATTATGCACTCCATACTGTACATAAATGCCACTTGTTTTGCACAATTTCCAACTGCCGACCTCTGTATATTTTATTTTCATTTAATTTTACACACACACACACACACACACACACACACACACACACACACACGTAAAGGTGAATTGGAAGGACAATTTTTTTCAAACAAGATTTTTGCAACACTAAACGGACCCCCCTTTCCGCTTGTGCTAGATAGATGAAGTGCATCTTTAAAAATCCCATTTGAGTTGTACAACACAAATCTCACTTCAAAATTGTGAAAAACACACCAGAACTCAAAATATAAGAACCTGACAACATGGTGTAATAAGAGGACAACACTAATTAGGTAACTTGGCTCCTCCCCCTGACATGAACAGTAATTGTCAGGGCTAACTTTATTAACAGGACAAAGGCCATACACATACACAAACATGTATTTTGTGTGTATTAAAAGGGCAACAGGTGAATAAAAGGAACAAATTGAGTGCATTTTACAAAAACAGGATTGTTTTGTTAACAGAAATGAAAATAACTGGCAATATAAAATTATGTCCTCTTAGATCAGATGCACTAAAACAGTGTCAACAAAATGAATTTACCAATCTTCTAATAGTAAAATTCTAAAATAAATAAATGAGAAACCAAAACATACAAAATATCTTTTGTAACTCCTCCAAGAAGTACTTTGGAGTTATGTAGACTCCTCTACATAGGATTTTCTTTTTTCTTCAATGACACGCCCCGATTCCTCACAAAATCTCTGATGTTTTGAATAGAACGACCAGCCAGAGCAGGATCTTCTGCAGTTTTGCATTGCTGGCATTCGATAATAGTGGCCAGTTTTCCTTTTTTGATATGTTCGCCAAAATACTTCATTATCGCAGCAACCTCCGTGGGAGACCAAGGATGCTTTTTGACCCTCCTTGCATTTTCCAGAGAAGCTAGAAGCAGAAAAAAATAAATGTAAACAAACTACTTTTTAAACAATTTTTAAATTAAAGGGGACGTATTATGCTCAATTGTGTGAGTTGACATGGTTGTAGGATGCAAAAATAAGCCGAAGAATTGAGTTCTGCACACACTAGTTTTACAGCCCTGCTAAGAACAGTTAGTGTTTAGTCTACACAGCCCAAAGACGGCCTTTGCATTGTCCACGAGGACAGGTGCTGAGGCTGTGATTATGCTGGATTGTGCAAAATACACTACCTGGGACCTAAAAGAGCTCCTTTTTTAGTTGTTGAAAACCTACACTTAAGGAGTCGGGAGGCAATTCATAACCAAATATACATACAAAAGCAACAAAAAAAAGTGTGGGTTTTGCATAATATGTCCCCTTTAAGGTGAATTTGTTGTAACAGTGTTTCTTTGGTATAAATCCTGTAATGCTGACTGTTTAAATACTTATTACAATGGATGAATACATTTATTTAAATGTAAAATTCTGAAAGGTAGCCCACATTAAGTCAGAATTCCAATAAATAGCTATGGCAAATCACTATGGATGGAGAGCATTTTATTCCACACACCGTTATACAACAAAAAACATGTATAGCATGATATTGTAATAATTTGAAATGTATAACATATACTCAAACATTTCATATATAACTGTCTGACTCAAATGTTTATTTAAAAACAAGGGTGGACCCTGCCTGACCATGAGGTGGGCCTTCAGGTTTTTTCAGTGAACATAATTTTCTTCAAGACGTTCAGGTTACAGCCCACAATTAGCCAAACCAGCCCAAATTTTCCAATATTATCCAGATTCTGCCTATGGGAATAAGATGATGTTCAGAGTATGGAGATAATGTAGAAGCCCAATGGTTGAGGAATCCTCAAAATTAAAAACCCAAATCATAATATGTTCTCATTGCTTTGTTTATTAATTGTTTTGGTGCATTGCTGTTTTGAAAATGATAAGTATTTAAATGTATTACAGATTAAAATAGGCATAGGGAAAGTAATTTAAACATTTATCCCATTACTTAATACAAGGTATTGTTCCACATTGAATGTGATTTATGTTTTACCTTACCAAGTAGGTTAATATAATTGTCTAACCAAGTTGTAGAATTATGGTACGGTCCCTGGCAGAAAGATGAGCATAGTCACCATACTGGCTTGGGTGGTGTGGATAACTGGGTTCAAAAATGCATGAAGTTTACATTTGTGCTTAAGTGACTTTTGTATGCATGTCACCATTTACCAGATTGTTTATTTGTTTTCTTCTTACTGCTTGGCTTCATCTCCTTGTTTAGTATTCTGTTGGGTTCAATGACCTTACCCGCTCCATTTTTACTTTGTGCTGAAAAACAAAACAAAACAGTAAGCATATATTTGTTGTATTAAATCTCTTATAATGTAATGTCAAATGCTCCTGAATGTGGTCAAGCAACTAATGGACCTTGAAATCTTGAATATGGTTTCTAAGATAAATCCAGAGTCGCAACTATGACTTTTAGTTTAAGGTGACACATGTGAATGTGGAATATGGCTAGAGCTATTACAGCTGATATTAAAAGATACAAGGCTGAATTTTTCTCCAAACAAGACTCCGGTGTAGTGATGGGATTTCCGGCTCTTTTTAGAGATCCGGCTCTCTCGGCTCGGCTCACTAAAAAGAGCCGGCTCTTTCGGCTCCCGAACCGGCTCTTCAGGTTATTTTGTTGCTTTCATTCATTTATTATTAACAACAATATAAAATTATGCACAAAATGAATTACTAATGTTTAAAAACGTGTTTTCTATGTATATATGTTCATTATATAAATCTGCTTTTATTTATTCACTCCACATAAAATTTAAAAAATAAATTATAAAATACAAAAACCTACCATTTACAATTTAACTTTTAAAATTTAAACTTTAAATTTAAAAATACCCAGTGCTCAGCTCAGTGGGTAGACACACTGGCAGCTTCACTTATATCACACTTAATTCACTGTGTTTTATCTTCCCATCGCACTGATGAGTGGACAGTTTTCAGGTGCCCGTGCACCGGCTCTATATGATATCCTTTTCTTGCAGACTCTACACTCTGCCTATGTATTGTCAGTAAAATTTAAATGGTTCTAGATTTTGCTTCTTTTCTTGGTGTCACTCATTTTCTTTACTCCACCTTTCTAATGTGACGACATTGTCTCTTGTTGTTGCTCCCGGCTCTCTTTCTCTCTCTCTCCCTGCTGCTCTTTTCGTGTGCTACTGCTGTTGCGAGTGTAACTACCGCCCCTAGCTCCTCCCTCTGCTCAGAGGCGGGAGGGGTGCAAACGCAAGGCTCTGTTTGCGCCCCTCCCGTCTCTACTCAGCGCAAACACAAGGCTGACGTGCAGCGAAAAAAGTGAGAGAGAGGGCAAGAGAAAGTAAAAAAAAAAATCCACGGCTCCCAATAAGGAGCCGGCTCGCATCGTTCACTTCAAAGAACCAGCTCTAAGAGCCATTTCGTTCGCGAACGACCCATCACTACTCCGGTGACTGGTCAACTTTCCACTCACCACTGATTTACTGTAGAAAGAGGATGAGAGCGTAGAGGGACTACTTCAGAAGCGCAAACCAGGTAAATAAAGAGTAGTAGATCAGCCCTCCACACACCAACTATTTTCATCTCTCTTGATTAATCTCATCTCCTTCTGTCTCCTGCAGGGCAGCTTCCTTTCTAACATCCTTCAACAAACCTTCCTCACTGTCCCTTGTTTGCACATGCCCAACACAACCTCAACCTGGCCAATGTAGAACAATGTAGACATTTTTTCCAACATGTGCAGTCCCAATGATATTGTTCTTCCTAATCCTATCCATTCTCTCCACCCTCAAAAAGAATCCCAGCATCTTTGCTTTCCCCAAACTCACCTCTAAGAACTGCAATCTATTAAGAACTCTGCTGCCCCCCTACTCTACTGCACTCACTCTAGAGACTATATCACCACATCCTAAAAAGAACATTACTGGCTGCACACTGACTATAGTATTGAGTGCAAACTCCTAATCAACTTTTAAGCCTTCAACAACCTCGCCCCCGCCACCCTGAGGGATTGTCTTTACTGTCACTCTCCCACAACACTGCTAACACTAACCTCCTTACCCCCCCATCATCAAAATCATAAATCTGAGGGTACAATCCTTTGCCACTGCTAATTGCACCCTCTGGAACTTCCTCTGCTCATTAGATTCTCTCTAGAACTTTAAATCACAGCTCAAAATCACCTGTTCAAACTAGCATTTCCTACCTGACCATCCTCCAAAACTGACCTTTCTATTCTGTTGAGCTGGTCTTTAGAAAGATCCTTGACTTTCTTTAAATTACCATTTGGACAAAGGTAACAATCACTGGAAAAATGATAGTAATGAATTATCTTTTTTTTTTTTTTACATAAAGATAGCAAAGATAGCAAAAGTGTCTAGGAAGTAGTTACAAAGGTAAAAGCTTCAATAAATGATGACAAACACATACCTGGAGGTTCCTTGACAACTTTCTTCATCATTCTAGTATCTATAGAATCTGTAATAAAGTCTATTAGTCATGTGATTTCATAAATTGAACAAAGTTGAGACTAATCACATTGTACTTACCAATCTGTGGATATACAAGATTTCCTTCATTGACCTCACGCTCCGCTCCGACCTCCTCACGCTCCGCTCCGACCTCCTCACGCTCCGCTCCGACCTCACTTTCTTCACTTGAATCTGTCAACTGTAGGTTATCTAACAAAATAAAAGATTGTCTTAATGAATTATAAGGTTATAGTGCAGGAAACGTGTATAATTCTTAACCTTAACACCACTTTACCTTCGATTTCAATCTCTTCAAGTGTTTTGCCTTGAAGGCTTTTGAGAGACCCTTTCTCCATGGCAATCAGTAGTTTGGATATTTTGGCAAGCTGGGTAGTAGCCTCTGGAAGTCTATAATATTCGCGATGAACACGAATATCATGACCTAGGAAGTTGGCAACTTGGTCTAACTCGTGATTCTTGAGGTTTAAGATCTGAGACAAAGTTGCGACATGTTTGCGCAACTGCGTTGAACGTAGGTGTTCAGGGTTTTCAGCCCCACATTCAGTCGCATAAATCCTCAAACAGTCCTGTCCTCTGTAGGGAGTCAGACAATGAGGTCTGGCAAACAGGAATATGTTTTCTGCCAGAACACCACAGTCTTGTCTTTTCTCTGAAGTGTTGACAAAGGTAAAGTTCAAATTTTGTCAGTCCAATTGCAACATCCTTGTGCAGGGTACTAGTGTCTCTCTCCTGGAAGCCATTCAGTGTCATCTTTGAAATTTCTCCCCCTCTTCTCCTGTTAAATAGTATTACATTTGCCATGGTAGCTTTACAAAGTTCACTGTATGATTTTGGTGAACTATGCTCTTCCAAGTCCTTCAGTGCTTGTTCTGTAGTCTTCTCCAGATGTCTATGAAGACGCTGAACATCTTCTGTAAAAGGAAGTGTGGAAGGCTTGTTGAAGTGCCGCTCGTTTAGTGTGGTTAATGCAGTATGGGAGATGAGTTCTGACCACTTTGTAGCATAAAGGGTTTTGAAACTCTGGGTTGACTTTATCAGTGCACTGTCTTCTGCCATCAGTGCTCTGCAATGTATAATATCACAGACTTTCTGCAGTGAGTGTCCCAACTTTAAAGCAAGGCTTGGAGTCGAGTAGCAGTTCTTTTCTTCATCATACCCACACACCTTCTTAACAGCTTTGATAACCACATTGAAATTTGCAGGTCTTACAGCATCCTCAAAAGTGTGTATTGAGCATTCTTTCCGAAGTGTGAGCAGAAGTCTTCCACATTCTCGGAGTGTCTGGCGAATGTAGTCAAATTTGGTGGGATCTTTCCCATGTTTGTTAAAGAATGATTGAGCAAGCTGAAGAATAGAGAAGTCACTTCGCACAGTAGAAGTTATTTCATCATCTTTCATGACAGCTAATATCTTCCAAACACCGGGGGAAACTTGCTGACACAGAGCTGACTCACTCATACAGGCCAGGGACAAGACCTTTTTTCGTCCCCCCTCTGAATTGGCCTCCACTGGTTTTGAAGAACATTTACGAACATGTCTCCAAAGATCTCTTTTAAGATATGCCTCGCAATAAATGCAGTGAATATAGTCTTTTCCTTTGTAGGGTTTTTTTGATGTGCGTCTGGTTTTTAATGATCCAATCCCACTTGCGATGACCTCCGAGTTATGTCTGTGGTTTCCTTTGTTTCGCAGCTTAGAAAGCATTTTCAAACGGTCTTTGGACTTCTTGGGAAGACTTAAAACTCGAGCAACATCTGCATGTGATTTCTCATGAGTTTTTAAATGACGTGTAAACTTTGTCTGTAGTTTTCCACAAATGTAGCAGTATGTTTTGTTTCTTAGTGAGGAGGATGTTTTTAAGGAATCTTCAGCCGTAGTATTAGAGTCATCAACAATGCCTTCAGCATCAGACTTTTCTGCTGTGGCAATAACCCCTGATACGTTGAGCTGTCTTGTGCCAATTCCATCTTCAGATATTGATTCGGCATCTTCTGAAATTCTTTGTCCTACTCTCTCTAAAAAACTTTCTAGGCGAGGTCTTTTCGTTTTGCAAGCAGATTGACTGCTGGAGATCTCAGAGTTCTGTACTTGTTTGCAACTTATATTTAAAGGCTCTGATTTGTTGTCCCATGAGCTGTCTGAGTCAGCTATAGAATCTGGCACATATTCCTCTTCTGATGAAGCCCCCTCACTTGAACTATCTTCACTAAAGACCTAATAACAATCAAAAACACAAAGTAAGACTTTGTTTACCTTACATATTTTACTGAGAAGAATTCTGCAAAAACACTTACCTCTGGAAGAGGTTCAGTGAGGTTCACCTTGTGGCTAACATAACATCTTTTGTGCCAGGACTGGTAGCAAACTAGACAGAGAAAAAGTTAATAAAAGAAAGGTAGTTAAAGCCGCTTTCCCCAATTTAAAAAACAGGCTAGATGGAAGCATAAACACAGTCAAGAAGGCTCCCCCTCCCATTGGATATTATCCATAGGCCACACCCCCTGGTGTGCTTTGCTGCTAAACAGGCCAGTGCATAGTGTGGTGGAGCCATGTTAATGTAGAATTTAAGGAGTCAGGAAAGACTGTTCTATCGTTTTTCTGGACTGAGCCATGTTATTGGCTGATGGTTTTAGACAAATGCAACAGAACCACTTCATTTTTTTTTTCTTTAATCTCCAAACAACATTTATAGCTATGCTTTGTTAAAATGTTGTTATGAACATGAAAAAAAAATATGTTAAGCTAACTTGTTTTTGCAAATTGGGTATAGCAGCTTTAATAATGACATGGTAAGTAAATATGTAAAAAGTGCAGATGTAAAAGGTTCATTATGAACATATATCATATTTACTTATGGATTAGTTTTTATAGTGTTCCTTATGGATCATATTTAAGATATTCTAATGTACCCAACCTTCCATAATTAAATAATTACCTTCACATCTCACACCACTCCATTTCAGAGGCGAAAAAGGTCCTCCACATGCAAAACATTTTTCTAAACTTGACATTTCGTCAGGGACTAGATCATGATCGCAGTCCTGTTTGGTAAAAAAAACCAAAAAAAAAAACCAGTGTAATCAAAAACAAAATTCATACTTTTGTGATGTAAAATATCACAACCAAATAGTTGTTTTGGTTCCTCTTTAAAAAGGAGTTAAGGACGGAAAAAAAAAAAAAAAAAAAACAGGTTCAAGTGTTACTAAAACTATTAAATCAATTTTTGTAACTTTTGCAATGCAAAATTTAAAGGGAAAAATACCTGCTGTATATAGATCAATTTTCAAAACAATTTGTTCTTCTAGGTTTTATATTATGGTATATATTACAAAACCACAATGAAAAGAAAATTCATTGTGGACCCACAACACCCAAAAAAGATTAGACTTACAATTTGTTCTTTCTGAAATGAGAAGATGTGTCCAAAGTTTTGACTGGGAGTGTAAAAAAGTATAATTAAATCATGAAGTCATGAATCCATCAAGACATAACGGATGGCCTTTACACAAATGTGCTTAGCATTAACAGGAAAGAGTTTAGCGATTGTTTCGGTTGTATTTACATGCTCCTTCCTATAGTAAGCTTCATTCTTGCTCCTTGATCAGCTGAAATTCAAATATGCGATCTAACTACATCAGAGTTCATTTCAACCAAGCCGAGAACTACGTCTTTATGCAAACCAGATTTAGGGTTGGGGTTTCATACTTCTTGTTTCAAATCTCAGTCCTCCTAATGCGTGCATCTTACTTGGTCAAGATAACCAAGGACCCACATACCTCAATACTGCCTAATAACTAGCACCTCAGTCTACAACTAAAACAATCTGACACTGAAACTCCAATTTACCTTTGTTGCGTCGTTAGGAGAGGAACTGGCTGCATTCTCATCCACAGCCTGAGATGGCACCATGTTGGATTTCTAAGGAAGAAGCGTGAATAATGAATGGCAGTCTTTGGGTCTAGCCAAGATGAATACAGTCCTCCTAATGTCTGGACCTGTCCAGTTGAGTAATACACAGGACCCGTGTGTGTATGCACAATTGCCAGAGTAACTCTCATTGATCTGAATTCATTTCTAAACTCAGTCCTCCTAATGTCTGGACCTGTCCAGTTGAGTAATACACAGGACCCGTGTGTGTGGGCGCACTTGTAGGTAGAACTCAGTTGTTTATACTTCCTGTTTCAAATCTCAGTCCTCCTAATGCGTGCATCTTACTTGGTCAAGATAACCAAGGACCCACATACCTCAATACTGCCTAATAACTAGCACCTCAGTCTACAACTAAAACAATCTGACACTGAAACTCCAATTTACCTTTGTTGCGTCGTTAGGAGAGGAACTGGCTGCAATCTCATCCACAGCCTGAGATGCCACCATGTTGGATTTCTAAGGAAGAAGCATGAATAATGAATGGCAGTCTTTGGGTCTAGCCAAGATGAATACAGTCCTCCTAATGTCTGGACCTGTCCAGTTGAGTATTACACAGGACCCGTGTGTGTATGCATACTTTTCAGTATAGCCTTTATTCATTTAATACTATTTATACTTATACTGTACTATTTACATTATGCCTTGCTTCTCCATGGCCAGTTGGAATCACCATAGTTATAGGTGATTTCTTCTCCTGGACCAATATCTTTGATTGCAAACAAACAGAGATGGGGCCTTCCATCCACTCTGGTAACTGTCATTTTACTGTTTGGATTCACATTATCGTCATTTACAAGTCTGCCAAGTGAGCCGTCCTCTCTGGTAGCATCAACACTAAAACAAAAAGTATACAATAACAATTACACTCTGTAAAGAAAGTCATTAAGTATATTAGGTTGTAGAACGTCTGAATAACATTTTAATATTCAATTCAAAATATTATTTGAATATTATAATTTGTAAACCTCATGTATTTTATCCTTTATCAAAGCAGTTACATACCATAACTGTTTTCCATTGAACTTGAAATCAAATATGAAAACCTTGAGTGCATCATGGTAAAGTTTCATTCGGTTTTCTTGTTCCTCTTTAGTTATGATTTGTCCTCTGTACTCAAAAAGAAAATCTCCCTTTTGAAATGACCGACAGCTGAACACACCGCGACCTAAAGACACACATCAAAAACAAATTGGGCAATAAACTATAAACCATTTAATTAAAATCCTTCTTGTTTTTAAATATGTTTTTTATTTGATTATATTGTATTATTTATTTTGGAACATGTAACATGTTCATAATTCCTTGGGGAAAGACAAGGAAAAAATAGAAATAATAATAATAATAAAACAAGTATAATTATATTCGTGATTATTAATTTTCTCATGCATGGTATGCTACAAAAAAACTACAAAAAACATAAAAATTTCTATTTTGAGAAGCTGACTGCATTCTTTGGAATCAACTCACCTTTAAATGAATCAATATACCTCACATCAAATCCTGCCTTGTCTTCACCTAAGGAGCAGTAATACCTAGCATCTTGTATGGGATTTATTTTAGCTCTCCGTGGCCTTGTTGCCGCCATCCCCTGCAAAGATCAGGTATTAATGACTTTAGAAATAACACATTATACTACAAAATGTATGTAGACATAGAAATAAACAGATCGAAAAATCTATTTATGTTGGGGAGAGCTCCCCTAAAGGTTCCAAATATCTGTGTTTCCCAACAGTTCCTCCTATCTTGTATCACTGTGTGTCAGAGGCTGCATGCCCTACCTGTGGAAGTTCTGTTTCGTATATTTTATTTGGTCTAAAGTTACTGCAAATCTTAATGAGTTAATTTTCATATCCACATTTCCTTAACCTTTTATATTTCTTAAAGTTATAAATTAAAATAATGATTTAGTATGGTTGAACAATAAGCATATTTGTCCTACAGTTTTTGTTTCATTTGTAAAATATTTTCTGAAAACAGATCTCACTAGTTTTAAAACCACAAGTTTTGTGATGCTAAAACCAAAATTAATCAAACCAACAGCAACAGAATGTCAAACTTTTGCTACTAGCATGCTGGCTAGCTAAACTGTCAAAAATTAGATGCTTTGGTGTATCCGAACGTAATATAATAACCTATATTACTTTGCTTTATTGGATGAATATATTTATATAAACATCATGTGTAAGGGAATTTGTATGGTTCTCACCTGATCTTCCACGAAAGCAGTAAGATAAAAGCTGTCTCATTAAATCCTCATGTCGTGCACCTGAACTCTTTAGTGTCCTCTTCTTCTTCTGCTCTTTAAATGTTCATGGTGGTTGGCAACCAGCGTAGATGTACATTAGCGCCCCCATAGTGCTGAGGAGTGGATATCATTGGCCAAGAACAGTGGATTAACACTGGGATTCTTGCAAATAGAATGCTATGATGTAATAGAGTTAAATTGCTCTAGTGCATTCTGACATAACTCACTTGGAATATGTAGACTTAATAATACTGTATAAAATGTAATTTTTCCAAAAGACTGATATTTATGCTTCTAAATTTTTAAAGAATGAAACAAAAGTAGTAAATGGGGATGATGAGTTTTAGTA